TATACATGTTTATTAATCTAAAATGTTCTTAACCTTTTGTTAATTATATATTTTTATTCTTAACTAAAAATAAATATAGCCACTACAATATATCCACTAGAAAAGAAAAAACAAAAGACCAATACAGAGCCAGTGTATACTGAATGCTTGTACATTTGTCAGGAACATATTTCATTTATTACTGGAGCTATTAGTTTTTATACGAATTTGTAATGTTCGTTTATTAGTTTTGTTGGGTAATATTGCACATTTTCACAGTAGCAACTAATAGTAAAGTGATGTAAAATATTTCATCTTGTTGTATCAAAACTCTATTCAGTATATACAAATATATATATATAAATGAAAAAAAAATGAAATATCAGAAAATTATTCTTAAATGCTCGAAAGAACAACCTAATATATTTGAAATAATATGCAATGTCAAACCGACATTTCAGCACAAAATTGTCAGAATTCTTTTTCTAAACTACGCTTATCTATTAAATATTATTTTAAGTAAAATGCACATACATATGTATACAAAATAGTAAGCCCAAGAATATGCTAAACATCAGAACATGATATCAGTGCGGAATGTCACAGACGGTTTTTGGGAAATATCTTTAGACTGTTTGTAAAAATTTTGCAGCATCTTCGTCTAGGATCCAATACAATTCTCCGTTGTGTGGCTGTACACGAGCAGCTGGTAAATTTTCTCTATCTTGCAAGATTTTCTGCGAGATATTAAATTGTGAAAATAGAAATATGGCTTCTACATAAATATAATCAGAAGAACGTCCGGTATAATTTTAATTATATAATCACCTTAATAACTTCAGCTTTGCTAGATCCAGTAATGGCAAATATGCATTTTTTAGCATTATTTATTACAGGGAGCGTGAGCGTAATACGAAATGGAGGCGGCTTGGGAGAGTCATTAATTGGACAGACCCATAGGCTTGCTTCATTTAAAACCTTATGGTTAGGAAACAGTGAACATGTATGTCCATCAGGACCCAATCCCAAGAGAAGTACATCGAAACATGGAACACGGTCAGGAGGAAAGAAAACGGACATCTTCTTAATATAATCTTTTGCAGCTTCTTCAGCTGTAAATAGGATAATCTATGAAATAACATAAACAAATTTTTGAATGGAAAAGTAGATTCTAAGATATTATTATTTTACCAGATAAATCTGCATTAATTTTTATGAATTGATCCTCTGTTACTGGTATCTTTCCTATTAATTTTGCTCTATATTCTCCATAAGTTGAATCATTACTGTCAAAAGGGACAACTCTTTCATCGCAGAAGAAAAAGTACCATTTAGTCCAGTCAGTTGTGATGCTGGGTAAACTCTGAGCCAATAGTTGCACCAAAGAACCCCCTGATACATACGAGTGTTTCGTTATTAAACAAAAATGTTCAATGTATACAATAATTTGGTCATGTCAATGGTAAAGTCTTGAAAATAAGTACAGTGAATTAGCAGCAAATAATAAACACAGTAACAAAAAACAAACTTCCATTATATAATTACACAATGTAGTTTACATAATTTCTAACCTATAAGATTTTACGTTTTAAAGGCATTGAAATAAAATGTATGCAATTACTAATGTAAATGTAATTACTAAAATTTTGGGAATAGTAAATTATATCGATAGTGAATTGAGATATGTCACCTGATAATCCAACTTTGAACGTTTCACCGCTATCAAGTGCTTCTTCGGCACTTTTTTGAAGGAGGTTAGACAAACATGATACCACAGATCCGTCCCGAGGGTCGATTAATATTTTCTCCATTATTAGCGATCGACTTTTAGACAGCTTTCAAATTTTTAATCATGCGTAAACCCGACGTGTTGAGTGGTACTAACTGGGAAATTTAAAGATGCAAGGTGATATTATATAGTTGCAAAGCATTGGTTAACATGTAATCAGAATACAGTCATGCCTCACCATAGTACATAAGCATTTTTATCCCCACAATTTTAATGCGCATTCAGGTTCGCGCAATTGCTTTAGAAGACGAGGAGGAGATGATCGAGAGAGACAGAACAAAACCAGAGGGCTCTATGTGTGAGTACCCACACGGACGAGAAACCTAGGCCGTCTCACTTTACCGTGCTTGCGGTCTCACTCTTTCCGCGCATCCGTACACCTGGCGCTCCATCTGAATTTTAATAATTGTAGAAATGATTGCCGTTTCAAGACGTTCGCAAATACGCTGGATTGTGTGGTCGAGAATCCTACGGAACGAGAAGTATGAGTCGAATATCGCGCCAAGTATTTCAAATGCAAGCATGGTAAAGTGAGACAAGTCACATTGGTCATCGGTGTGACTTGTTTCGCTTGTGTTGTGCTAATGTCATGCTCTCTTGCTCGCTCCCCACTTCCCTCCTTTGTCTAAAACTGTGAGGGCAGCACTGTTTAGCTGTGAAGTGTCAACCAATCAGAGGAGAAGCAGTTTCACTACGCTTCATAATTATAAGCCGGTTGCCCCAGCCTTGGCTTACTATGGTGAGGCACTACTGTACATATATACAACATTAGAGACTGACAATGATACGCGAGGATCTTACGATAACATCCTTCCGAACGTAATTCTGATTGGGATCTTAATTTATTTTACGTGAGAGACATATTTTCATATAACGTAAGATCTCACAATATATATCGCTTTTGTAGGAAAAGAAATTGTGCTTAATACCAGTTACTTCATTGACATAACCTATAACCAACACATTCTCTCACAATATCAATTTTGAGTCCATCCTTTTCAATATTTCTCAAGTAGAAAGTATACTAATCTTGTTATGAGATTTCCTTCATAAATCAAAACGTACCTACTTATCAACAAAAGTGTAATTTAGTATCGAAGAACATATACATTATACTTACAGGGTTATTCACGAAACTTAGAATCTGCCGCGTGAGATAGGAACAGAGAGGAAATATGCGCGGCAACAGCGCCAACAATTCAATACATACATATAGAACTGATCACATTATACATATGCATGTACATACATGCGCTATGCCCAAACGTAATTCTCTTTATAGACATTATAATGTCGTGCGATTCAAAAGATTTAGTGCGACGCTAGAGAGAATAAGAAAAGTTTCTTTTCGGCCAGATTGGCTGACAATTTACTTACATATATTGTAGCAGTGTTATGTGGTATATAGAATAATGCGGGATCGTCGTAAATCAAAGCATAAATAAGTATTACTGAAAATACCATTTTTAGTATGTCTGTATATTATCGTGAGAAATTTTGAAGCTTAATTGAAGCTGTAACAGTAGCTTTAATTAGAGTATCAGCTAATTACATATGTATAGTACATATGTATATGTATTGACTAGCAGTAGAATACGAATGTATCATGCCCGGATTTTGCAAAAGTTGATGTATTTAAAACCCGGGTGTGGACACTCTTGTATCTTCTCATCGTTCCTGGCATATATGTATATACACAATATGTATGTATTGGCATGCACACATATGTATGCATATACATACAGCAGAAGAAGGTGTTGAACGTGGTATGTACATACACACATACATACACACACCATACATACATGTCAGGGACCAGAGTTTTCATGGTGTATGTATGTAGTATGTACGTGTATTCATACATGTCATGTTGCGCTTTGCGCTGTTGCCATTTGCCACTTCGCCACTGCCCTTGCGTTTAGGTTGTAGATATACATATGTACATATAAAGTTTCGAGTTAAATGAATAGCCCTGTACAATTAGTTTTTGATAGAAGTTACAGGTTATAAAATTTCTAATGACTACTGAAACACTTGGATACACGAAATCTTGGGATCGTGTTACGATGAATAGTAGTATATAGACGAAGGCAAAAATACATTAAATGCTTACCATTCAATTAATCGGAAGTATTGCAGAGCAATCATGTCATTCTGTGTTCGCCTTGCTCGCAGTAAACCCATTCGTGTATTAGGAAGTATAGCTATGAAATGTTGGGCATTCTGTGGAACTTATATACTTGCTTGTTTTCTTTTATACTGGTTGTATGGTGGAATATCAGCTTTTTTCCTTCTTTGTTTTGCTACTACAGGTACACTCAATTATAACTTATTCAATCAAATTCGTCATTTTTAACGGTATTGAATAAAAATCTTGATTTATCTTTACAGGTATACTGTATCACAGAGAGGATCAGCTTGTGTATCGTCCAGAATGGCCAGCTAATTCTCGGGTATATGTTCCTGCACCTTCAATATTTAATTTACCTTATCAGAGTATATACACTAGATCAGGAGATGGTACAGTACTACACATGTTCTTTATTTCCAAACCAGAAGACAAAGCAAAAAAGGTGCCTACCTTATTGTTTCTCCATGGCAATGCTGGTAATATGGGACATAGGTCAGTGGTTCCAAATATTTTGTTTGTAATAGTTATCGTAGACTTTGATACTTAAAGTGTAACAGTACATTTTACAGGAAAAATTAATGATTAGTTAATGAACGTTTTAGGTTGCAGAATGCAGTCGAATTATATTATACTGTCCAGTGTAATATTTTAATGCTAGAGTACAGGGGATATGGATTATCGCAAGGTTCACCATCCGAAGAAGGCTTATATATGGATGCTTGTGCTGGAATTGAATATTTATGTAATCGAACAGACATAAATACTAATGAGATAATTGTATTCGGAAGATCTTTAGGTAATACATAGTTAAAGTAAATGACTTACATTAAAAATTGTAATTTATGCTTATAAATTATATTTGTCTTTATAGGTGGAGCAGTAGCTATTAATTTAGCCACAAAACCAGAGAATTCTCAAAAAATTTGGTGTCTGATTCTAGAGAACACCTTTACCAGCATTCCAGATATGGCTGCATTGCTATTTGGACTAAAATTTTTACAGTATCTTCCACTCTTTCTATATAAAAATAAGGTAAATTGATTTTTGTACTACAGAAAAGGTCTACAAGTTCTCTTAACAAATGTTTTATTCCCATTATCATCAGAATGATTAATTAAATTTTCTTTACAGTATCTGTCAATTCTCAAAGTACGGTCAGTCACAGTACCTACATTATTTATTTCTGGATTGGCGGATACATTAGTACCACCACGTATGATGCAAGATTTATACAAGAATTGCAGAAGTTCGTGTAAGAAAATTCTTCAGGTCACAGGTGGCACACATAATGAAACTTGGTGTCAGCCAGGATATTACCAAAACATATGTACTTTCTTGAACGAGTTGAGAGAGAATCCTCCTGCTCAAGTGACGTCTACTCATTGGCAAATAGACGATATATAATAACATACTACCATGCTCACTTTTTGCCCAAAGCGATGACTATATTTTATATGTTGTTCACTACTACGTTAATATGTATTTTAAGAAATAGAGTTTAATACTGTCGAATACATTCATCAATTTCTATTGTGATCATTAATTTTATTATAATTATAATTCATCTCATAATTGACTGGGATCAATCTTTTTTCACGTAAGTTGCGATAATGAACACTAGTTAGTAATGTCGCAGAGAATACAATGTCAGAAATCAACGAATTATTCTAAGTCTAGTAAAAGCATTCATCTTGACTAAAGTTTGCAAATGGTCCAATGAGATTCAAGTCCTTCCAATATTTAGATCTTTATCTGTATGAATTCGACGGATTGGGTATGTCAATAATTTGAATTTTATCGACTGTTTTTATATTTAAATGTATACATATTTAACATGAGTATGCATGAGTGTGCATGTATTTATTTGTTTTTTGATGAAATTACAATATATGTATATATGTATATATTTATACTATATTG